AGATGGGAAGAACTAGATGGAAGGACTAAAGGAGAGGACTAGAGGAACAAGATGGAAGATGAGGAAGAGCCAGATGGGGAAGAACAAGATGAGGAAGAACAAGATGAAAAAGATGAGATGGAAGAGAAGTTCATATGGGAAAGAACTAGATGGATGAGATCCTAGATGGGGCAGAACTAAGACGAGAGAATTAAGATAGAACCTAGAGGGGATAGTATATGAATGTAGAGAGAAATCAGGCAAGAAAGGGGCTAGGCATGAGAACAGAACAGAAGTTATATATAGAGAGAACTGACTCAGAAGAATAAAGTGTATGGACTAAGGAGTTTCGTGTATAAAGATTCATTTCTTATCATTAAAGATTAATTATCAGCTGGTTGTGGATTCTTCCTGATCCTTGGGAGGGAGCTATTGAAGGGCTGGACCCCCATCATCCCCAATAGCCTATGGTACTGTAACCCCAAGAAACCCATTGGTTTAGTAAACTAGACTTGGGTGGAATCGCTTCTCTGGGAGCCCTTGGTGCCCTATCTGGGGTGACTAGAGACTTGCTCAGCTCTCCCTGGGAACAGACACACACACCGATTCTCAGTCACGTCCATGTAATCAGCCCATGTAATGAGCATAATGGTCACTATGGCAAGAAAGCATCAGAGAGCAGTTTGAAGCATAACTAACTGTAAGCTTGTAATGTCAGAACCCAGCCACCACTGCTAGGCCACAGCACCTCAAGTCTCCTCTTCTCAGACACGGACAGGTGCCCTCCTGAGACACTGTGAGTCTCCAGCTAACAGACTTCCTGGATGGTGCCTGAGTGTCCTCAGCTCTCTAAGTGCCTGGGCTCACAGGGTCTGAAGGGGTTAGGTGCCATCATCTGAGCAAGAAGGGGGCTCCAGGAAGGGAGGCAGCAGGGTCACACCAGGAGGCTCTGACTGCAATTGGATGTCACTGATCCTGGGCAGACTTCCCACTCTCAAGCCTGGCCCTCTGACAGAACCCTGCCCCCCCCCCTCCCCGCTCTCTGAAGGAGAGTGTGGAACTTGTGCAGCTGAATCCTGAAAACGAACCATTTCCAGGAACAGAAACTGAAAGCTTCTCTGGCTGCAGGCCCCTCCCTTGGGGGAGGCAGGCAGGGCACCTGCCTATAAGTGAGGAGTGGAGCCTGGTCCAGAGTGGAGCAGAGTCCAGAGTGGAGCCGAGTCCAGAGTGGAGCAGGGTCCAGAGTGGAGCAGGGTCCAGAGTGAGGCCGCGTCCAGAGTGGAGAAGGCTCTGAATAAGCCCAGGAGCTCAGGCTTCCCTTCAGCTGCTCCTCTCCTCTATCATTCTGCCCAGGAGGACCCCAGCCCTCCACACCTAAATTCTCTTCTTCCTGAACATCCTGGGCCTGGATTCCAGTTTTACAAGGCTTCTGAGCAGGTAGGTGAGAGGCTCCTAAGTGCAGCTTGGCCTATAAACTGCTCAGGGCAGGAGAGTCTGGAGTCTGGTGTTCCTCTGAGGGGTTGTGTGCAGCAGGCACCTGCCTTGATCTTCTTCAGGACCACACAGTCCCTTGTGTTTTGGCTGAAGAGTCTTTCCAACCCACCAGCAGAGAGGCAATGTGCCCTTTCTTACCTCATGTCCCTGGACTGCGGGTCTTCTGATGAGGCCTAGTTCAGAAAAAGCAGATGGGGTTTCACTCAATCTCTCAGCCAGAGTCCAGCATCAGAACTTCCCCCTGGCAACATTGGGATGTCCCATGATTATGTAAACATGTTGGTTCTTTTTCAGAGCACACAGAGACTGGAACTTGAAAGAGTGAGGTCCTAAGCAAACCTTCTCTATATATTATAATATATATATATTTAATAATTCCGTTCGGTTATTTTAAAAATTATTTATTCAGTGTGTGT